AGTGCTTAATACTGTTCAATCGGATGAACTCTAAAGCAATACATAGTACTTTGTGTACGGCTGATCACAAGTTAGTGTTCATTCTGAGTTTGATCATTTTGTAGCATAATCACTGTGTTTGGATTTGATTGTGTTTCACTCTAAAATAGACAAATCAGTTCATTGCTTAAAAAAAAAAGTAACTGATGGATATTCACCACTGCTCTTTTTCTTACTAGTCTTTCAGACATTTCAGTTCCGTTCCATCCTGGTCATACATTTAGAAACTCTGCCCCCACTTTGGGACCAACTGAGTCCATGTTTGAGAGTTTCATTAAACAGTTCAGAAGTTCATTTCAGGCCAGTAAGCCCAGTCTGGCGATCTTCGCTGAAAGGAAGGAGTGAAGAATGAAGACAATTGGCTTGGGACACGAGTGCAAGTCCAGTTGCTGTGAATAGAACAAACGACAAACACTTGATCTTAAAATAGAAGTTACTTATCATATGGTTGTTTCATCAGTGACACAAATCCAACAGCAAATATTTTCTAAAAAGGAGGCAGTTAAAATATATAACTATGTATTTTACTCACAATTTCACCCTCTTTGCCGCCGAAATCCAAATAGAGCATCCGCACCCCATCATCTGAGGACATTCGGAGTTTCTCAAAGGGGTAGCTGAATAGAGGATGACCATGAGGAGGCTCTCCTTCAGGCAGCACAGAGAAGCCCAGCTCATAGTGAATGACCAGTCTGCAGTCCTGACCCTTATACATGCAGCCTGAAACAAGGAGAGAGGCTTCATCAAAGATCAGTCCTGAACAGAAATACACACAGTGGTGTGTTTCCCAAGTGCCTCATTTATTATGTAAAGATCAACAAGGAGTGCTGAGTGATGCTCTCTCTAGGAAAATAGTGTGGGTTTTACAGTTCCATAAGAAAACCTGAACAAAAATGTTTAACATTAGAAATAAAGACTAATATACCAGTTAGGTGGTTTTTTTTTTTTTTTTTTAATAAGACTTTAGAGGTTATAACTTACAATAAAGGAGGAAATGAGGACAAAGTTAGACCCTTATGACAAAGTGAAACAAGGTGCATTTATAGGCCCCCCCCCAAAAAAAACACCTCAATAAAGGAACATCTGTGATATGTACACACCATCGCAAATACCAAAATGGTGAAATACTGTTAAGAAATTAATGGGGATTTCCCCTTTTGAATGTGACTATGTACATTCAAATTCTATAGAGAATGATGAACCGCCTCCAACCTTTTTTTGTTTTTTGTTTGTTTTTGGCTTGACCTCAGTTTTTTTGTAACAGATGTACAGTTTTCTTTATTTCATTCAGAACCAAGAAAGATGTAAACTTTGCATCCAACTGTACTTAGTGATTAACAACACAATGCACTTGGGAATCTCCTTCATGTATGTTAAAAAGATTTGCTGAAGCTACTAAAAGCAATCTCAAGTCTGATGTTAAATACAGCAAGGCTAGATAAATTCTGCGTGGATTGTGCAATAACACAGCAACATTGAGTAACTTATTAGCTCTGGTTACTACCACCCAATCCATCCCATTATGTGTCTCGTAACTTTCCCCCTGCTTCAGTTTCCTCTTTCTATAACGTTCATCAAACACATGTTGAAAGTCTAGAATTATTAGCTTTATACACTGCATGTACACCAGTAAGCTACCTGCTTAATGACTTCCTTTTGCTATGCATCTAGGAAATTAGAAGTCCATACACTAGATGTAAATGCTTATGAGTATTTCTGAGGAGGAAGGCCATGAACAGGGTTTAGATACCACAAAAGGGTCACATGGAGAGCATAAAACACACACAGATAAGCAGCTTAGCCCCTGCTTTGACTATTTAAACCTCAGGTAAGGAGGAAGTTGGCGGATCAGTGGGATTCCCCAAATAAAATGAGTATACCGGACAGAAAGGTCAAACCACATGTAGGCTAAATGAAGCAAAATTCAGTTCAGTTCAGCTAAATGAAGCAAAAGTAAGCGGTGACTAACTAGGCACTGTGAAAACGAAGACTGATATTGATTTAATCACGCTCTTCTGGAATCACACTATATAGAAATTAAAAAATTCGTTTGCGATGGCAAGAAGCAAAGAAATTAATTCAGTGTCTCAAACTTCATGAGTCACTACACAGCAAAAGCAGTTAATTAGAAGCCTGAATTCAACTCTTGATAAAACATTTAGCCTGCCAAGTCAAGGTCACAATGCTTGTTGGTCAGATTTCCTGCCAACTTCCTTGTGTGGGTTGTCTTGCATTCGAGGGATTTAGAACAACTTTAACCTGCTGATTCTGTTATCTATTCACTGCCCATCTTCATCAACATGGTGCCATGCACATATTACTGGAGCCAGTTAGAAAGCTATTTAAATCGGCTCTAGGCAAAATGCAATGTCATAAGTGTGGGCCTATTTAAATGCAGCATCAAAAGAATCAAAATGTTACACAATCAAATTGTTAACTACATGGTACTACTGAAAATATATTAAACCTTTGATACACTGTGCAACTCTGCTATAAAGGACTCCGAACCGCTCAGTAATCGACTAATAGCAATGCTTGTATCGTATTTCCAAACCATTCAGCTTTTGTCTTGGACATTATAACAGCCATAAAGGCAGAGAAAATGATCCTTTAAATTTGCTATGATATTTTTTACAACAGGGTAACCTACTGTTTACAAAATATCCAAGACAAAAATGAGAGAAAAATATCATCTACATTGGTTTTATAAACTATTAAGTAAGTATAAAATATGCTACTGGTTTCCCCCAGCTGAGTTATTTACTACATACCGTACACTTGGCATAGCAATTTTTCCGTAATAAATCAAAAATGCCTCTCTAGTGGACTGTGCTGATGATGAAAAAAGAAACTTTTGAAAAGACAAGGAGGTTCATGTTCTCCCTTCTCACTCTCATTCATCTCTTTCTACTTAACAATACTGTAACCTTACTCCTGACCTAAAAGGCTGACTGAGGCTTTCCCACACAGTGGATTCACACACTGTTGCTTTCATCCACACACAAAGAGACTCCATTGAGCCACGGCCAGAGCAAAGGAATCTCCTTCGTCCAGCCGGAGTGGGTCTTTACAACACCCGGCTTTGCAGTAATGCCAGGAATTTATGGCCCCAGACATTTGTTGTGTTCAAGTCTGAACGACTATTCGGTGTCAAGTTCATGCTGACAGTGTGTGTGTATGTGTGTGTGTTTTTTTTTTTTTTTTATGACACTTATAATGAGGTAGGAGTATGTATGGAGGATCAGTGATCAGTATTTTTCTCTATACCTTCTCTCTACAACAAACACACTCCCATATTATTTAGGCTATAATGCATCCAAATTACACAATAAATCTAATCAAATATGTATCATTTTGCAATTTGTTCAGTATGTTTCCTCCTTATGGAAGCAAACAAGGCAGATAGACCCATAGTTTCAAAATGAAATAATATTGGTAAAAAGACTTGAACACAGGATCAATTTACTGTTCACAGAAAAGGAAAGTAACTTCCAAACTTCATACTAGTTGGTCATTACCTTAACTGGGTCAAAGGTTGTATTAGTCACAGAATAAATACCAGAATCAGATGAACAGAAAGGTGGGGGGAAAAAAGCCAAAAACAGTTTAAAGGTCCCTCTCTGAGCAAGTAAAATTACAGAATTATGTCTTGCATAACCACTAACTCTGTATAATTCAAAACAGGTTACTGAGCTGGGAATATCAGCTTGGAATATGGTTAAAGAATCAAGAATATGGACAGAATATGGGCATCAGGGTCAAATAAAATGTTCCCAAATTTGATAACTTATAGCCATAGAGGTTCAGGCTGACAGGAAGTCTACAGTAACTCAAAGAACCACTCTTTAAAAACATGGTGAGCAGAAAAGGATCTCAGAGCACACAACATCTCGAACCTTGATGCAGATGGGCTACAACAGCAGAAGACCACATCAGGTTCCGCTTCTGTCAGCCAAGAACAGGAATCTGAGGCTATCATGGGCACAGGGCTGAAACACTGAAACTTCACTGAAACAGTTGAAGACTGGGAAAAACGTTGCCTGGTCTAATAAATCTCAATTTCAGAATCTGGCATGAACGGGATGAATCCGTGGATCCACCATGCCTTGCGTCAACATTGCAGGCTGGTGGAGGTGGTGTGATGGTGTGGGGAATGTTTTCTTGCCACACTTTGGGCCCGTTAATACCAATCAAGCATCATTTGAATTCCACAGCCTATCCGAGTATTGCAGCTGCCTATGTTCATCCCTTCATGGCCACAGTTTAATCATCTCAAACTGGTTCCATGAGCATGACAATGACCTCAGTGTAGTACAATGACCTCACCCAGTCACCAGATCTGAATCCAATACAGCACCTTGATGATGTGGTAGAAACAGAGATTCACAGCATGAATGTGCAGCTGACAGATCTGCAGCAGTTATGTCGGTGTGGACCAGTATCTCACAGGAATGTTTCCAACACCTTGTGGAGTCCATGACATGAAGAGTTGAGGCTGTTCTTACAGCAAAGACCAGCATATTACTATCCTGTTCCTAACAGTGGCTGGTGAGTATATGATAACAATTGTATTAAATTGTAATGAATTTGCTTGTTAAATATCCTACTTTTATTTATTATTTCTTCGTATATGTTTTACAGGACAGCAGTCGCTGCAGCAGCACACTGTGTACTAAAGTTACGCCAGCACAAGTTTATCTCCTGACCTGGTCATTCACTGTTAAATCATGATTAAAGGCACACCCCGGAAATCTATTTTTGTAAGAAAAATAGGAAAAATGTTGCTTAATGTAGTTTCAGAATTACTACTGCAAGTGCAGCTGTATTTAAATTTTTAGTTCCCTTGCAACAAAACATTTAACATTTATGGCATTTGGCAGACGCCCTTATCCAGAGCAACTTACAATTATCTCATTTATACAACTGAGCAGTTAGGGGTTAAGGGCCTTGCTCAAGGGCCCAGCAGTGGCGCTGGGATTTGAACTCACGAACTTCCGACCAAAAGTCCAACGTCTTAACCACTGTGCTACCACTACCCCCAAAAAAAGTTCTTCTTCAAAGAACAACAACAACAAAAAAAAAACAAACAAAAAAAAAACCCGAACCCTAATGTTATGGTGATCTCCAGGGTCTCACATGCTTCTAATCACTCTGAGCTTAGGGACTGCTCCAGCACTTTATTTCCCGGAATGCTTTCGCCTGTACCATTTGCCAACCGCACAGAGACCACACAGGAACTCGGCCACTCTAAAAATACTTGCATTCTCTTTTATGTTTTCGATATGAATGACGCATGTTAACCAGCTACTAAATGACCCATAGTGCTTTTGGGAATTCCAGTCTGTCTGTAGTCTCGCAAGAAAGACAACACCGTTTAACTAGTCAAATCTGATTTTCTATAATCTCCACACCAATTCAAGTAGCTTATGCAAATATAAAGAAAAGTGAGGTCACTAAATAGGATTCAGAGTTTTATGTCATTGCAATTATTTCTCTAAAAC